ACCTTCCTTCCAAGGAGTGGCTGGTGGGTTTGAACCGCCTGCCTTCTGGTTAGCAGTCAAGTGCCTTAGCCACTATGCTACCAGAGCTCCTTAAGAGTTAGTATATGATTTCTAGTATCCTAGGATATTTCAGGTTATCACAAGCTGCCACAAAATTCTGAAAGATATTTCAAATTAATCAAACTTAATTTTTTTAAAAAATGGTTATTTTGAACTATCTTTGGTTTATCAAAGGACTTCTGGTGGTGTAGTGAATAAGGAACTTGACTGCTAACTGGAAGGTCAACAGTTCAAACCCACCAGCTGTTCTATGGAAGGAAGACTGGGCTATCTACTCCCATAAAGATTTACAGCCTCAGAAACCCAGTGGGGGTCACTGTGAGTCAGAAACAACTCAATGGCAGTGAGTTTGGTTTTGGTCTGGTTGGTTTATCAAAAATCATTGAGCCTATGAAATACTGAAATTAGCCTTATTTCTCTGAAGTCACCTCTTAGATTCACTGTACAGAGTTTCTCTTTGGAGAATGGGGTGGAAGGGCTGGGAACAAGGGTATATTCACCTTCACTGAGAGTGTCACCTTCTGTCATTTCATTGGAGGTAACCATTGTAAACTGTGGGAAAAGTCCAGAGTGTGACTAATGTGGGCTTTTAAGCCAGTTTCGAATCGGGATCCACAAATGGAATGGTAGACCAAGAACCCTGTAGGGTGTTCTACCAGGGAAGAGCCCAGAGTAGCCTGAGCAGCCCTCGTGTTTTTGGTCCTTTGAATATGAAAATTTAAACCACTGTGACAGAACGTTCTGCCACCAATCTCTCGCGTACAGTCTTCCGAAGCTACCTTAACTCCCCCTGCAGGTACGTGTGCATCCGAGGCGTGTTCATCCTGACCACGGAATGTGCCTCCCTCACCGTCACGCTCGTCGTGACGCTGCGCAAGTTTGTGAGCCTCATCTTTTCCATCTTGTACTTCCAGAACCCGTTCACGCTGTGGCACTGGCTGGGCACCTTGTTTGTCTTCACTGGGACCCTAATGTACACAGAGGTGTGGAGCCACCTGGGAGCCACAAAAAGGCCACCTCCCAAGGAGGCCAAGGAGAACTGAGGTCTGCCTGGAGCACACAGACCGGCGTCCTAGCAGAGGGAGGCTTGGCGAAGGGCCAGCCACCGTCTCACGGTCGGCAATGCTGAACGGCCCCAGTGTTGAACCAGACACGCGTACCAGAGATTCCCTGGAAGGAGGGGGACTTCTCGGAGCTCTCACGACTCTGCCGACCAACACTGTAGACTCGTAATAGAACCCCGCCGCACTGAAATAGAAACAGAGTAGTTCTGTACGATTGCACAGCCTACCCATTTGTTCTTTTCATTTTGTTTGTATATTATGTTCTTTGTATATTCAGGACTACGCCTGCTTGTCGGCTTCTGAGTCCCCAGGGGTGCTCGTTAGATTTCTGGGCCTCAGACAGGATGAGCCCTTTTGTTGCTGTGACTGTGTGCCATCTCAGTCCCTGTTGGCTTGTGGCCTTGCCCCTCCTTTCTCCTGCCACCCTCCATCCTCAGCAGCACTTCTCACCCTGCCGACGCTCTGGCTATCGTTGTCAGGAACAACTAGTGGCCAAGTGGGGGCCGGGACACCAGGAGCATTGGGGCTGCCTCCAGCGTGCTGAGAAAGGAGCCCCAGTGAACTGAGCCTGGGACCAGAGCAGCACGCTGGGGCTCCCCCTCCCCCACATTGGCTTCTTTTTTTTTTTTTAATGCAAAAGTAAGATATTTTGACATCTACTGGTTTCTGGATTTAGAACAATCTGCAGCGTATCTGCATGGCACAGTGTTATTAAGAAAGAGACTGGGTATGAATTCGGAAAATGAGAGGCTTTCTTCCCTCAGGCTTCCAGATGAAGCCCACGGGCCGCGAGTGAAGTGGCACTGCCAGTCTGGCCTCCCCGGAGAGCTACGGCCCCCTGTAGAGGCACAGCCATCGCTCCGGGGCAGGACCCTGAGGGTAGGTGAAGGCTTTGACAGGCTTCTTAACCAGGGAGAGTCAGCACAGCCTGACAACTCCGACCACATCCCAGGCAGTCAGGTGAGTCACTGTATGTGCGTGTCACATACACGCATGTGCACATGTACACACACACGTCCATATATGTATATACGGATACTGTGTATAGTACGGCTCCTTGAGGGGTGTGATGTAGAAGGTCAAATCACAACTAAACTTGAATTTTTCCTTTTTTCCTATTAAGTGTCTTGATGTTCTTAGTGGGCCTCCGGGAGGGTTTGTGTGTGCTTTATGATAGGGAGAAATGTGCCTCTCTGTCCTAGTCACTTGAAAGGCTGGCTTAGAAAGAGGAGCTCTGTCAGCGCGTGGGTGGCCCATTGCAGGAGAGAAGACCGGGGCAGTCAGGGTGCTTTGTTCCTCCTTCACTTTGCCCCTGACCTTTGTTAACTCATCCGAGTCCTTGGTGGCAGAGAAGGTCTCTGTCCCTTCTCTCTCTGCACACAGAAAAGGTCTTTCACTCTCTGCTGGGAGCAGATGGTCTCTAGGCAAGGGGTGGCCCCACGTCCCTGGGCTCCCTCACGTGTGGCATGTGTCCCACCCTCTGTGGCAGACCTGTAGACGGGTTTGGCAGCAGCGGTGCACGTGTCCTGGGACCCATGGGTCACTTTGGGCAAGTCCCTTAAGATGCTCCCATTTTTTATTCTATAAAGTGTGGATATGATTTCTCCACCCGAGCCACAGGGTTCAGGCTGGTTGGTTCTGGATATCAGCAACTGCCCAATGCCCATAAGGGTTGATTCTAAAGGATGCTGGATCCATCATGGAACCAAAAGGCATTTTCTTTAAAATGTGGAGTTCCTTGGAATAACGGTGCTGTAAATACCTAGTGTTAAAAGTCCTCTTTAAACACCAAAAGCTTCTTTTCCTGTCCACTCAGTAGAAGAACCTGTCCCTAGGGACTGCTTGAATGCTACCTAGCTGGTATCTCTGGGTAACTCCCCCTAGGTACTGCCTTACATAGTGGTACCTCCCTTTCATGCTGATGTGAATGTTATGGCTTTCATCATGGGAACCCAGACAATGTACACAGACACCGTTGAACTGGATCCATTCATTTCAGAGTCGGGTTTTGGAGCGTGTCCACTCCTCTCATCTGAGTATGTCTCCAGTCCTGATAGTGAAAGATGTATGTGGACAGGTGCTAGAACTGAGCGCTCACAAGTCGTGGGGCAGTAGGATAACGGAGGTGTCCATGGATTGATTTTTCTCTTGAATAGCTGAGTTTCAGGAAGTAGCCCTAACGACCATTAGTCAATATTCTGCCACTTCTTACATTGTTAACCATTGTTGCTGAATTTTTAACCCAAGCTGAAATTTTTTCCCAACTCTTATTAGAAGGGCAAATAAACTGTTTTGTAGAGAATCAGACTTATGCCTAACTGGATGAGAAATGTTTCTTAAATGCCTCTCCTCTGTCTCTGGGTCAAAACCATGCAATACTGTGCTTCAGAGAGAGATTGTTTACAAAAGAGCATGGTGTCCGTGACTTCAAAAACTACCCTTCTTGTAGGGACCAAATAGAAATTACACCCACCAGAAAATGTAGTGTGTGTGTGTGTCCACCTACAGCTTGATAAGATAATAGATAATGGAAAAGGTAATGCGAGTGAAGATCATTTGATACTAATTTAATGTCTCCATATCCTCTACCAAAATTGTTGTCACATTTTCAATGCTATCTTTTCTCATTTATAGTAATTTAATGTTGATCCCTTATTTTCTTTTGCATCCAACTAAAACAACCAGTATATACACGTGCACTTGATAAGTTTATATGTCCAGTTGTGAAGTATTAGACTCAGCGCAAGCAGTTCTCCCCCTTCTTCCTGCCCACTCGCCCCGATGAAGCGTAGCTTCACTGGGCTCCGTGCTGCGAGTGAAGGAAGCCTCGGCCCACCCGCGCCTCTCCTGTTCTTCCGGAAGATGACACGGTAGTTTGCCAAGGATTCTAATAAATTTCTTGTAGTCATTTCCTGAACAGCTTTCCTCTTTTCTGCCCTATTTCCTTTCACTTCCTAATCCCCAGTTCCTTCACTGTAGCTTCTGTTCCCTACTGACCAAGACATTGAATCTCACATATATGTCTCTGGGTTCTGGGTGGTTTTTGTGGATTTTAACAGGGTGTTTATATCTGTGTGTGGCCTGTATTTGGTGCCACATCCTTCTAACCATTGATGGTGGGAATATGTAAGGGTGAGGTATGTGGCAGATCGTGTGAATCTTTGAAGATGTGTAGGAATGTAGAGTAAACGTGAACATGTGTGTCTGTTCTAACTCAAACTGGAGGCAAGAATCCCCATCACTGCTCCCTTCTGTGTTTGGGAAGCAATAGTTTTCTTGCTTTGCTCTTTCAACCCCACATCTAGCTGGCTTCACCCCACAGTGCTACGTTCCTCTGGAGAGGCAGGTGGACAACACTGGATCAGAAATCATTCAAACCAACTAATCTGCTCTGGACTATGTGTGTGTGGTGGGGGCACTGTTCATGGTGGACCAGATGGCATGTTAGAGAATGTAGCAGAGACCTGAGCAGAGGCCCACATCCGCATTGTGAAAGACCACAGCACAGAGGTAGGAGATCCAGAGCCTATATTTGTTGGAGTTTGTTTCTCTTTGCCTTGGACTAAATACAATTACGAGTCGTTCTGCCCTTACTAGATAACCAAAGCACGTTGCTCTCGATAGTGGTTATCCTGAAAAGCGGGTTCAATCTGACCTGGTTGCAGTTCTTTTTGAGGTGGAACTCTGAATATAGATACCATTCATTCATTATGATTGATTGGTACGACCTTCTAAAGTAAATATAAGCCATATTTGTAAATAAAAGAACTAGTGGTCAGCATCAGAGTGTGTGGAGTGTGGACTTGTGAGGGCAAGAGGCTGGCCCCTCTTCGCTTTGTAGTGTTCTCTCTTTCCAGTGGATTCCTCGTTCCAGGGACGGAAGAGGCCAGGGTTCATCTCCTACTCATTTCTGGATTGCCGGCCCCAGACACAGTGACTTGTGTCAATAAATGGATGCTTGCCAAGGTCTCATTCCTTCAAGTTTCTGAGAAACCTAATGGTTCCTGGTACCTTGATCAGCTGGTCGGCAAGAAAGTGAATAAGAGGAAACAGTCGGAAGGTTCCAGGCAAGGGAAGGAGTGGAGGATGTTGGGGGACGCCCATGGATTGGCATCAGCGTGCAGCCTGCTCCTAGCCTGTGCTCCCTTGATTGCCTGATGGTGAGAGGGAAGAACCCAACAGAGTCAGTGCTGGGCATCACGTGACACCCTGGATGAAGGGGCTCGGAGGTGTGGTCAGGGCTGCAGCAAGATCCCTGAGAGACGCTGCAGCAGGCGGCCTAGTGTGGCCAGCCCCACCTCCCATCCCCATGGCCAGCGGAGCTGGGTTGCATTAGCTCACGCACAGAGCTCATTGTCTGTTTGTCTGTCCTCGGCATCCCACTGAGACATGTCCCCTGAGCTTTACCTGCTTAGACCACTAACATTCCTGCCCACATTCCTCATTTCTGCTTACTTGAGGAAAGCTGCAGGGGAACCAGGGTGGCAAGAAAAGGACGCGTCATTTAGAAGAAGGAAAGCCATGCTTTCTTAGAGAAAGACTTGTAAGCATTCCTCAGCCATGTGGGTTATTTCTGTGTTTCCAGAGGTCAGTAGGACGCCTGTGACCCAGAAGGAAGCGGGAGGAGTCCCAGGGCCGGAAGATGTCGGGATCACTCGGTAGTGCCAGTCGCTTGGGTCCCACAGAGTGGTGCGAGCCTCAAGGGTCAGCTTGCAAGGGAGATTTCCAGAAATGCCGCCACGTGGGTGGGGAGGGCAGCAGAGAGTCCACGCATCCAGCTTCCAAGCTCTTTACTCAGTGCTCAGCTCTAAGCACAAAGATTGGGGTGGCGGGGACCCGAGAGTGGGGCAGGATAGGTCAGAGGACAGCCACTAGCAGGCCTTCACCTCTGAGCTGTGCGAATATCAGCTGCAGCTGGCAGCTTCTGAGGCATCCGTAGAGACAGGAGGACAGGGAGGTTTAGATGAAGTTTTGCTAAA